TTGACATTGGTGTTTTTCTACGTGTAGCAACAGGGATGGAAAGGCATTTTTTCCCATTTAGCAAAAATTCTTGCAAGGTTCCTTGCACTTGCCATTCCTGCAAGTCTCTGTCGCTATAGGAATTCATTGTTATCTTTATTCATGAAAGCATAGTCAACAAGTTTTAAAATGAGATTTTTGGTTTTATATATAAAATTACCTAAATTTTTTATAATTTTTTGAAAAAATAATCAAAAATATTTCTAAATACATATAAATCTAAAAACATTATATAGTTACAAGAAAAAATCTCCAACTACAATTCTAAACACACCCTCAGCTAATCTTTGGGTCCATGGTGGCACTTCTTAATTTCATGTAGAAACTTTGAATAAAAGGAAATTAATCTCAATAATTGAATTTATTAATAAGCAAATGTCATCTTTCTTAGTTTATGTTAGAAACTCAGGATAAAAGAAAATGAAAAAATAAGGGTTAAATTTATTAGTAAACAAGCGTTGTTTTATAAGGTTAAATATTCAAATCTTGAAGTTAACATTTATGCTCTGTTTGGTAACTTGAATTTGGCAGTATGTATTTGAATTTGAAGTGTTCAAATTCAATTTTACTGTTTGTTTTTACCTAAATAAAATGTAATTGAATTTGAATGAAATACATGTATTTTAACAAAGTAATTTTCAAGAGTAAATACCGTGCATTTTAATTTCACCATAAAACCCTCGAATTTCAATTTTGAATTGAATTTGGTATGCAACTCTCTTGTCACCGACAATGAAGTAGTCAAAGAAAAGAGAACTGAGGAAACAAACCATCTGTTGGGGAGGAGGACAGTGCCTATAGGTGGTGCCATCAGGCTCGACCGTCCATCCAGCCTCGCGAGCCAAGGCAGCGAGCACATCGTTCATGTCCGCACGCGCAGGGAGAGGGAAATTACCATATTGTCTGAGACCGGCCAGCATACGGCTAGTGATGGCACGGCGGTGTCGCTCTCTGAGCTTCGTCCTTTCCTTCTCCTTCTCCCTCTCTCTTTTCCCTTTGGCGGAGGCAGGTGCATTAGGTGAGGCCTCTGCCGCCGCAGCAGCGGCGGTGGCAGCAAATCCGCGAGGGCGTCGGGGTTGAGGCTGAATTGCGGGATCCTTCAAATATTCCTATTCAGTTTGGTCACAGTCAGTTTAGGTTTTTCGAAAATATATAAATAAGTCCTTCCAGTTTTTCACTGTACCAGTTGGACCATTTTACCATTCTCAAGCAAATCTACCTTTCAAAGTAACTTTACTTGTATCTTTGGTGTTAAAAATGGGCTAGCATGGGTGGCATGGGTGGGTGGCATATACAGATGTTGACTTGGATGTGAGCTACGCAATGTATATAACATGACCTCTTGCTTGTACGACCTCCTGGAGAAACTCCACTACTGTGAGGAATCAACAGATGAAGTTCAAATAAGTCTTAGCATCAACAGGAAGGACTCCACTATTTTTGAGGAACCTCTAGATGAAATTCGAATAAGCCTTACTAATGATTTTTAGGAGTATGCAAGTCTAGAGCTTCTATTTTTCTCAGTGTCTAAAGTACTGTTTTACATATTAAAAAAATAAGAACGTTAATTATAATAATTATTTGATTATTTAATAATTTTTATTTGGAATTAAGTGATTAATAATTTAACCATTTACTTATTATTTTGATTTATGGATTGCATTCATTCCTTTACCCACTTTCATATCTGCAACTTGAATTAAAAGATATTTTATTTTTATTAAAAAATAATATTATTAAACTATTTAAATTATTAACAACATAAAATTTATTTTGAGGTGAATGGTAAAACCCAGTGGGCCTTTTTGCAGTTTACATTTTCCTATG